GCTATAAAACATTCTTTATAGCTTATAAACTCCAATTAAGATTTATTTGAATAATTCGAATATTGATATGATTTATTAATGAGTATTGTTCGATTTTTGTTGAATAGTCTGGTAGGTTTTGTATGTTTTTGAATTTGCTGTATGGTTCCCTTGGCAGTTCGAGTATTTCGCTGTTAAGTATTAATAGAACTTTTCTCTAATATTACATACCATACACAAATGTACTAATGTGATATGCTTGCCTCCATATAAATCACAAGAAGGGTTTCTTCTATAATAAACATCTTAGTATCCAAACTCTTGATATTTTTAGTATTGTATAATTAATTTCGATTTATAAAAGTTTTCTACTCTTATATTACTTCCAGCAATATATAGTCGCTTTCGAATAACTAATTCTGCTTCTGATTTTGTGGTAAAAGCAATAACTATAGCTCCCTCTCGTTGATAAGCTCTTTTGGAAGCTGGTGTAAGCCAGAAGGGGGTTCCGATTGATTTGAAATCTAGATTAAAGGTTTTGATTTCCTCTAAAATAAGATTTATTTCTTTCAATCCTAAGAATTCTCTTATTGGGATTTTATGGATAATAACTTTATACCATTCTTGATCCTTTTGAATCCTCTCGAATTTAATAATATTATTTCAAATAGTTTTCTTTTCTAAAAGGAATTGTAATATAAAAGGATTATTTATTATAATAATAATATTGTTATTAAAGAATAAAGTAATTACTATAATAACTAGCCCTTTAATTTCACTCTTTTGAAAGGTTTTGTTTATTTTGTTTTAAATAATTAAGAAGAAAAAGGAAATAGAGTTTGGGATTTCTGATTTAATTAGGATTAAATATCTTTGAATGATTTCAATCTTTTTATTTATTGAAATAGGTTTAATAGCTTTTTCTTTATTGACTAGATTCCATTCTTTTTCTTTTACTATAATTACAAAAGTTGATTTAGTTTGGTATTGTAATAATTGGAATTGGATTTTTGACTAATATTTTAATTTAAGATTTGATTTTTTGTATAATTAATTTAAAATAAGTAATTTGGAATATGATAATATTAGAGGTTATAGTGAACTTTTCTTTTTCGATATATTCTCTAAAGATTTCTAGAAGATCTAATAGCTTCGATTACTTATTATATAATTGAGAAAAAATTGAGGCTAATATTATAAGATCTCTTGCTTTTAGAATTGCTTTTTTTAGTATAATTGCCTTGTTTTGTATTCTAGATTATTTGTTTTGATTGCTAAAAGGTATTGTAGGGTATCGTTTCTTATTCTGATTGAATATATAGATAGTATTAATTATATCTTGAGTAATAAAAAGATTACTAAATAAATTGAATTCTTCAATTTTTTTTTCAGAACTAATTAGCTGGTTGATTGATAGAATAGAGCTAGAGATTTCGAATTGAGGGTTTTCAGAAAGCAAAAAAGAATTTGAAGGTATTAGAGTATTTAGGATAATAATGGGATAAGTGTTTGGTATAATAAAGGCTTTAGAAAAAGCCTCTATTATAGCTATATTTTGAAATATTAATGGATTATTGTAATAATCTATATTGAGAGTTATATTCTTATTTTGAAGGTTTGAAGTGAAAATTTTATGCGAATTTTGGTGTGAGTTTTGTGTTTAGAGTGTTGACAATAGTATTATAACAATTATTAGTCAGAATCACTTGGGAGTAATTGCAATCAATTTGGTTTAATAATTATGATCTAAATCAATCACGAAAGAGTCGTATTTCGAAGAAAAAGTTTCCTTCGAAATTTGTTGTGTGTTTCAACGCTAATGAGATAAACCTCGAGAAAATCAAATTTTTAAAAAGAATGCTTTTTTATAAGAGAAAAATAATTATTAGAAGACAAATTATATAGAAAAGAATAATAATTTTAGTAATACATAAATTCATATTAAAAACATGGTTTAGGATTCATCTTCTTCATAATCTTACTATTCGTAAGAACTATAGTACTATGTATATATACGAAAAAGTCGATTCGCTTAAAACGAACTATCATTCTAGCTATCTAACTAACTGATATATTTTATAAAGATTTTTTTATGATATTATAATTACTAGGAATGAAGAGTGATATATTGAGATCAGATACAGCTCATTACATACGTCTGGGCCGGGGCCAGGGCTTGTTGATGAATATAAGTAATCTGTTCCATTTTAATCTGAGTGCTACAAAGCTCGAAAAACAAGAAGTTAGATTGAGTATGATTTTGTACCTCAGCTTGCGATCATGATGTTTAATCGATAGCTGAATGCATCGTATGAGGAGTGGCACTTGCAATCTTGTTTAGTTTCAGGGAGTATCATTCATAATGTTCTGAGCAAAGTGACCATTCTTTTTAAGCTGATTTGGTGAATAAACATGACTAAAAACATTTTCACGCTTTGACTGAGGTTTAGTGTATCAGAATGTGATTCCGTTCATCCACTCACCCCGTTGCGAGATATTTAACTGACAAAACCGGTTCCGAGTTATTGCTGATCAAAGGCACCAATTCGGCAAAAATGTGTGTTGGCAGAATACAATGTCAATATAATGACTTTATTAATTCCTCCTGACAATGATCTGGCTGTTCTATCTCCATATGCTCCTAAGAAGAAACCTTAGACGTTGACCTGACAAGGTTCTGCACAGAAGTGTATTATGAACTGTCCCTCGATCCGCAATTAACGCATTTGTTTCTCTCTTATTCCAAAAAGAAACTCTTTAACCTCTCTCCCGAGTATTTCAACGCCTCACCATTCATAATACCATGCACGTAAGCCTCTCCGATTAATTCTCGATTTTCACCATTACTTTCCCTCACTGGTCTCAAAACCATCGGTACCTTTGACCCAGCTATGACCCAAATTTCGCCCCCACTGTCGGTATCCAATGTTTGCGCAGCAATACCCCAATATCCCTTTTCCGTCCTGAACATTTTTCTTCCCGCATACGCAATCCTGAAAGACTCGTAAAAATCCCCGTAATCTTTGTCAAGCTTCGCCTTTTCTGGATCAGTGAAATCTTCATTGGCTGCTATCTTAATGAGTTTCTCAAGATCCTCCCAGGTGGGAATCAGAGATCTGTTTAATCTATGTTTAGACAAGTCGTTGATCAGTTTTTTGATTTTTTCGTATGCTTTTTGTAGCTTGGGTAGGACGGGGGTCTGCCTTGAAAGTGCGTAGTTATAAGCAATTCTCAGCTCAGATACACGTACTGTGATAAAATATCGGAAAGCGTTTCGTGCATTCTCTTTTGCCGGTAACCGTTGGAATGTATCTTTGATGAGGGTCCGCCAGAATCCTTCGAAATATGTCTCCGTCTCATCGTCAACATGAGGATATTTTGAACTTGGATAATTTGCCAAGAGTTCCAGCACCGTGTCAAATCCGAAATCGTTACCCATGATTTCTGCTTGATTAGCTGCGCACTCGGAGATAACATCAACTCTATAGCCTGTGATTGGAAGAAGATGACGTGATTCTAAAGGTAGAAGAACTGGAACTTCAAATGGAATCCCTCGAGCTGCATTCCATCTCTCACTTCCCGGTTGTGGTCTAGGATTTCCAGCCAAAGGTTGAGGATTAGATGACGAGTTAAAATCGGGTACCCAAGAAGGAAGATTTCCAATGGCCCGGACCGAGTTGGGATTTTGAGTTGTCAAGCTGTAGTCTTCCACTAAAGAAAGAATGTTCAAATCTTTGGTTTCAAAAATCACTTCAAGCGCTGCTCTCGTATACACGCTTGCTACTGTTGGATCTCGTTGATAATCGGGGGTCATGTCCAATGGTATCGTTTTTCCTCCTTTTTCCCAAATGCCTCTGATTGCATAGATCTTATCTTTTGGATTTGTTGCATCGAAAAATCTTGAATAATACAACAACTTTTCCAAATTTAAGACTCTCCCCATTTCTTCAGATCCAAGTGTAGCCATATCCCTCATACTTTGGAAGATTGACTGGTTGTTCAAAGTATTGTTCACATAAATAGTCCCTTCAATATCGTCCACAGTTTCAATCAACAACTCCATCAATAACGTTCCCAATCCTGTTTCTCTTAGTACTTTCGCACAAGCTGTTATGTTTTCCCATCCAATAATATCACTCCCACAAACCACAACAATATTTCTTGGCAGAAATGCTTCTTGAACAACCCATATGCGACTGAACCAAGTACGTTGTAAAAATGCTGCATATTCCAACCATTTCCAAGTTTCAACTTCTTCGATACCCAACTTTGAATATACATCCCAATCTTCAAGATCAGTAATACGTAAGCCAGTATACTTTTCCGAGGGTATTTTCGAGAGAAGATTTATGACTTCAATAGCATACGGCGAATGGAAATCTGAAACTCCAAGCCAGATAACTACCTGCGAGCATTTTGTGTAGATTTCTCCCATCATTCCAACTTGTATATTCCTCTCCTCGATGCTATCTTGATTAATGCATATGCCATCTATCCACATGAATTTCTCTCTCTTAAAATTCTCTTCCTTCCCATTCTTGCTGTTATCTTCACTATTGTCCTTACTGAATTCCTTCAGTGCCAATAATAAGCTTTCCGTAATTAAAAGGTTTTGACCATTGCAGAGGATAGAATGTTCGCGTTTATCATTGCTACGGTGGATTTCTTCTTCCGGACTGAGAGCATGGTATAGTGGGTCAGACCAAGTGTATGAGAGACAATCGTATGCAGGTGCGTTCTCGAGATTTACTTCATGTAGTGTTACTCTAACTGGTTCCTCAGAACCAGAATCCAGACTTAAAAGACGGATAAAGGGGGAAGGGAGAATAGAAGGGTATATTTTGCCGTCAGTAGATGGCATTGCGTAGTAAGGCGATCGTGAGAAAAATGAGTTTGGTGTGTGAGATTGATCAAGGATGTGATCAGAGGGACAGATTGGGAGATAGTTTATATGAATAAAAGCTGGTGACAAAACTATAAAGGATCTGATGCACTAAGCGGTGTAGAAGCCAAAGGATGCATCCAAAATGGGGGCGCTTGCTGACATGCAGAAAAATGGGATATTGTCTACCATGTGCCCCACAGCCAAGAAATGAAATTCTAATTATAATTAACGACAGGGTAAAACATGACTGACTTCATCCTCGTGATATCTGACAAGATCTGCTTGCCTTGGAGATCACAGTGGAACTCATAAATCCGGAAATGATTCTAGTTACATACAATCAATATTTTCCGTGGCACTCCACTCTGAATAAACTTTTGAAAAACGCTGCTTGAAACAAGCAATAAAGATACATAAATACAAAACCCAAATTGAGAGGCCAAGAAACCTAAATTATTCCGCCATGAACTCCTCAATGCCGATTCCTAGCCATCATTATTTCCATCATTAATCCAATTATTTGCTACAGTCAGGACATTGATTGAGATTAACCGATTTCAACTGGCTTTGACTCTCACACTTTGCTGCACTTCCTGCTGGAGGACAGATGTTCTTGTGAAGCTTTTGATTTCCCAGTTTTCCATCTGTGCTATGCGGTGTGCATTTGGTCTTGGTACTAGGGCATAGACGACCAGCTGCTGGACATTTTCTCAAGCACTGAGAAACAGCTTTACCCCCAGAACAAGACGAAATACTCACGCAGAGCTTACCATTTAAGCAGTCGTCATCTGTGGTACATTTGATAACTTTGGCAGATGCGGGAGCATTGCGAGATGCACCTTCGTTGATGGCTGGCAGACCGTCATTGAGACCCTGGAGAATGAAGTTTGCAATGGGAGAGGTCGTTAACGAAGCAAGGTAATCGGTGATATTGGTAGAGATCTTTCCGGTACCACCTGATGGGCCGACAAAGTTCATTGAATTTTGTGACGTTGATGAATACCCAGTTGAATCCTGAACGCATAGACTAGAGTTCTTCCAGATGGCGTCGGCTGCATATTGCCAGAGATTTGTATAATTATACACAGTTTGTGGTGTATAGTAAATCCTACAATCTGCGGCTTCGTAGGCGAATTGTAATGGAATCTCTTCATCTTTACGTACTTGATCACGTAGGTTTATATCCGCAAAGTAGACAAACACGCTGAGTTGTTCAGTTCTATTCGGAAGAAACGTTGCATCGATTGAGCTTTGGTTTTGCAAAAGTTTCTGAGTGAAATCGATATTGGCGTCAAGAGTGAAAGTGTCGTAGTCACGTGCGCCACGAGATCCAGCAGGAGCCTGCATTGGTCCTGTTGTTGGTGTGCCTCCTACTACAACAACTCGAACTCCAGCTTCGTGGCGAAACATCTCGATCAAAAGAGCACAAGAAGAGTGACATATACCGTCAGATAGCTATGGCTATTAGAGTACGAAAACTAAGTGATGCAGAAAGGTGACTTACAATGATTATATCCTCTGCTGCAAATGGTGGCTTAGCCCCTGATGGTGCCGGATTTGCATCATAGCCGTACACTGAAAAAGCGTCATCGCTGACATCTAGACCAGCACCAGATGCATCGAAGATAGGATTAGACAGATTGTATCGTGCCTATTGATATTAATTAGATGCAAACCTAAGATATCAAGTAATAGTAAACGAGAATGAAGAAAACCTACAATGTTCGTGAAGTTATCACCATTGTATTGATTGGGTCCGAAAAACTCCTGCCAATTTGTGAAGTTGTGATTCGTATCCGCATTAATCCGATTAGTGATAACCCATTCATCAGCCGCTAAGACATACTTTGTCTCATCGTTTTCGGCTAGATCATCCCAGTATGGAGTCAGAGTCTTGCCAAGAACATCGGCAGAAGCATGGGCTCGCATACGGGATCCAGCAAAGGGATCGATATTCGGGAACAATTGTTTGAATGTATCGATTGCAAGTAAAGATTGTCCGCCATAATTCTGTTGAAGATCAATAACAACCTTCGTTAGGCCGGCTGCCTGTGTTTGATTAATGAACCGAGAAATCGTTTGTTGGAAACTAAAGACAGCATCTCCATCGACATCAAAGCTTGGAATGCTTAAAACAGAAACAGAAGTAGAGTTGAGAAAGTATCCTGTTTGTCTATTAGAAACCGTATAGTCAAGTCATTCATATAATAATGTGTTGCAAAATTTTCCAATAACATACCGGAAACAACTCCATCCCCATAAGTTCCAAGGTCTTCTTGTGCAACGTCAGGAATATCTGGGTAAGCTGGACTATCCCACCCTGTCGGAGTTGGAGTAGCGGATATCGTCGAAGTGACTGCAGTAGATGAATCATCACTAAAACTATCTTCCGAATCGTTATTCGAATCATCGGTGTACGGATCATATGATGCAGGATAGAACCCTAAAACGAAAAAGTTATAAAAGTCTCCCCCAGTTTGAAGAGGGCCGGTGGGACCAGGAGTATCGTAGATAGCGAGATAATTCTCAGTCCAAGACGTCCCATTCTCCAAAAGGAAAGTAATGTTATCACCGGGATAGAATGTCGCGCCGCCACTGAAAGAATTGAAATACCCTTGGATATCTTGAGCTGCGCTAAGCATCAATTGATTCCAATCCGAATGATCTTCAAGAGTGCCGACTGAGTTTACGGATGCGAAATCCAAAAGATATGTAGTTGCATCTCTGCCATTAATTGATTTGATGGCTGAAGGCTGGAAAGTTGTAAAATAGTCACTGTCAAATAGATCGTCGGCTAGATAGACCTTTGGGATTTGTTGGCCATCTAATGATAGTGATACTAAGTCCCTTGGACTTGCAAAACTAAACGCAGATAAAGCTCCCGCTAGTATGTCGACATGCCCATCGTGGGCGGCGTATACTAGAGTCTGTAAAGCAGCCTCAAACTCGTATTGATTTGAAAATATCCCTTCGTCGATCGCGGTTTGAATTCGATTCAGGCCTGCTATTAGATCCACAGCTGGTTGTTGATAGCTTGGAGGTGGGCTTTTGAGATATTTCAATGTACTCTGGAATTGAAGAGTATCATTATAGTATGAGATAAAACGAGAGGCGACAGCAGGATTGAATGGCACACTGGTGAGGCATTCAAATGCCAAAGTTGCATTGAATAAAACGGTATCTGTTATTCCATCAGTACAACAATCAAGGATCTTGCACTTTTCATTCATACCTTCGTTATTGACGATATCACCGCACGCAGTTGAAGCCGAGTTTCTAGCGCTTAGGGTCTGTGTCGTTCCAAGTGTAGGACTAGCATTCACATTCAAACTGAAATAAAGGAAAAGTAACACCTTAACACACTGAAAAGCCCGCATGATGCTTTAGCGAAAGTAATCAAAAAAAAAAAACAGCAAGGACCGTCGCAACCTTACGACCTTTGTCGATTGATATGTAGAGCTGATATATAAAGTTCATTGTTACAAAATAAGAGTGGAGATATATTCTGCGGCTGACAATGCAGGGCTGTGTTTTGAAGAGGATTAATCTTGCATATGGCTTCATTAAGCGTAATTAACTCTGTGTGGCGTGAGGAACGAAATCTCTTATGTGATTGGCACTATGGTCTATGCCCCCCCGGTTGTTGGCCAGCGACAAGGGGCAAGTATCCCACTTTGAATACAATGATTAAGCTTATCCACACTTCAAGGCTCTGTAGATGTCGTGGCAATCTATTTCGGAATTTTTATGTAAGCCCAAGACCCGTGTGAAGTACAATATCGGCTTGCGATACCAAAGGATGGGGTAGAACCGATATAATTGATGTGTGTAGAGCAGTAACCCAATGTTACACCCGGTCTCGGGTATTGCCACGATAAGTAAATTGAATACAACAGCCTTGTCAGCACTAAGGTACGTTTGTAGCAGAAGAAATTTGATAACCCTGCATTTTATCTGTTTGTCAGAACGAGCGTATATGATAGGAAGAGGTACGAACCTGACGTAAAAGAAGCCGGGTTATATAATGAATAACTTAGACGGATGTTGAGGAATTTGCTCTTCAGAGTCAAGTGACCGGAAAACGCTTGCTGAATTATGCGACCGTTTGATGATCGCGAAAGCGAACGACGGAAGGGAAGTCAATACAAAGCTATTCATTAGTCATTAAAAGCGGCTGTCATTTCACCAGGCGCCATAGGGCTAGAACAAATGTGGTCTTGCACAGTTTGTCTATTGATATGTGAAATTCCCCACAGAGTAAAAGGTGGACACTATCACAACCTAGAATAATCGCTACCAACCCAACAACATCCTTCGAACGAATTTATTCCTAACCATAAACCCTCCCTCCATCGAATGTTTGTAAAACGACAGAGGTCACTACTCGATCTGTTTCTTCTTCCCACTGTTCCTAGTGTAGGTCGTGATGGCATAATTGATTTGGAGAACCCCACGAAAAGTGCAGTACCTTAACCACCTAGTAGTAACCTCGAACATGTTCTTAAACTTTGCATGGCTCGAAGGATATGCGTCGACACGACTTCGTGTTAGATACCTACTACATACAGATGTCAAACTCTAAGTAAAACTTTGGAAGAAATATCTTTGTGATCTGTCGAAAGATTTGTCGTGAACTGGGCATTGGCATCTTTCGTGGTGTAAAGCAGAGCAGATAATTGTATGCCAACAATAATTGCTGAGTCATGTCCCCACTTGGTGGCTACCTTCCTTTTCGAGATATACTTTTTGTCTATCATATCTTATCAATTTGATATCAGGATTTCATCATCTATCCGGAAAAGCTCTGCAAGATTGCATCACTTAACTCATGGCTATCCAATTGCCATCTAATCCTCTTTGGAATAAATTGTTCATCCAATTTGACGCGTATCACCAGACAATTTGCATTCATCATTGGGTATATATTTGCTTGGAATCATGCACATAATTATCGACCTTTGACTGTTGCCTATGGTCCTTACGCGTTAAGGCTCATTCTACAATCAAATGAATCTTGGATGATATTGAAAGTCATGTTTTTTTTATCTTGCTTACGCACTTGACTACGACGACACACGTTGCATCTCTTTGATTTCCCATCTCTTTTTATTTGCGCTTACGCCAGCTATCGCATACATTCAAGTGAATTTGATCAGTTTAGTCGAGTCTTCTCTGACGAATTTTCATTCCCATCTTTAACATTGGCGTTGATCATTCGCGGCCGCAATGCCTTACTCCGATGATCCATTCAATTCGGAAAATAATCCGGGAAACAATTGGAACGAAGATGATAGTGATGAGCTCAGTCCAACCGACGGTTATTTCAATTCGAATCAAATGCCTCAAAATATGATGCCGGATCCCACGCTCTCACAAGAGGATAAATCAAAACCTCAAGACGCCAAGGGAGATTTTCCGAGAGACGATGATATTTCTTCAACTCTGCAGATGTCGTCGTACACCAATACGTCATCTCATGCAACTCAACATCCCCGACATTCTCAAATTTCGTCTAATTCCCTTCATGCTTCGTTGTATCACAGAGGAGTGAATTCCTTCCCTGAACATCAACCCTTCCTTGAACAACCACCCCCAGCTTATATAGCTTCCACAGCGTCTTCTCCTGTCTCGGTACAAGGACAGCATACTCCCACACACTACAATACTTTCTCACAACATCGCCTCGAAGGAGGTCTACCAAGAGAACCTCAGAGTATGGGAGGACCGGCAGGTAATCCGGAGATCGATGAAAGAACACCTCTTTGGCTTATCCGAACACCCAAAAAGATTTCCTTTCGACGAGAGATTATAACAAAAGCTCTTGGACTGGGACTAGCTCTAACCATTGTTGCCGTTATATTAAGTGCGATCTTTACAGGAAAATCAGTAAGTTTAACCTTCTAGCAAACCGAGACTATCTTACGCGCTACGTACATTCATTTACAGTTTTACAATTGTAGTTCTATTTCATCTATATATAATATCTAGTCTAAAGCTGATTAGTATACAAGAATCCAGGTTCAAACATGGGAGGAGGGCCTAGATTTCCCGACCCCATCCACGATGGTGGCTCACACTGTCAATATGTTTCCAGATCGGAGCAAGCCATATTCGAAATCACTGATGCAGCTGGAATTTCAGTAATACAAGAGTTCTACCAACAAGAGTCTCCTCATTATGGACCGGAGGTCAAAACAGCAGGAGAAGTTCGCATTCGAAATCTACCAAGCAATTCAAACGAAGGAAAAGCACATTTTACAGTTGAAGTTAAACTTAGCCACCCGGAATTGTCTGTGCTAAAAACTTTGAACGAGCTTGATGGGTCATTGAAAATCAGCACGCCGAGATTTGCCAACCTAGGCATACATGAAAACCCTTGTATCTCACTTGAAATTACGGCTTGGATACCAGAAGATGCGGAGATCTTCAAAGTGTTTTTTGACCTGGTAACTCTATCAATTCGAATCTTTGACGATGTCAATGTCAAAATTGTCACAGATGCCACATTAAAAACAATATCAGGCCATGTTAGGTTTCCAAGCGACTCAATTTCGTCAATCAGTCATGCTTCCTTCTCAACTAAAAATGAGCCAGAAACACACTTCAATTTCGATTCTCGTCACATTATCGTCCAAACTGTGTCAGGCAGAATTGAAGGCACATATCCCCTTTATGATCTTCTAAAAGTATCTTCCCAATCTGGAGCCATAGGAATCGAAGTGAAACCCAAGCCCGTTCTTGAGTCAGCACCCGCTCCCGCTACTTTGGATATCCGTACATCTTCGGGTAGAATCGAAGTATTGTCACCTGTCAAAGATCCAAAGGCCATTTATCTCCGAGAATACATCACAGGTGTAAAATCACTTTCTGGGGCCATTCAAGGCGATTTTTTTGTTGGATCTACGGGGACTTTCGACACCGCTTCTAGTAGGATTCAACTTATGGTGAGACCGGTTTTATTGGCAACTTCTGATGACGACGATGAAAGTCGAAATGAATTCTCTACTCATTCAGTGAGTGGGAATACACATATCACATTACTTAATCCTTTGTTTACTTCACCCTCCACCAACGGCAACGTTCTCAATGGTGCGATTGTATCCACACAGAATAGCCACGACTCTCCGTACACTTCCACCCTCATTGAATCATCGAGCTCCTCTTTCCAGGCGTACAAGAGTAAACTTCGCACTGTTCATTCGACACATAAAACCTCCTCTGGGCGTATCGAGGCATACTACCCCTTAGCTTGGATCGGCAACATTGAAGCGAAGACTATCTCCGGAAGAATAGAATTAGAAGGGAAGGGAATAGACATTGTCGAGAGGCATGATGGATGGGGCTACAAGAATATTAAAGCTAGGAAGGGAGTCGAGAGAGACGAGGATGGGAGTAGTGTGAAATTGGAGACGTTGAATGCGGCTATTGCATTAAGGATATCCGAGGCTTGATGAGAATGGAGCCACACTATTCATAACGATTTCCTGGGACTGATGATCTTGAGATTACGATTCACATTCGAATATATGGGATTCATTGGAACAATTTCGTATGTTGAACGAAGTGGTTGTTGCCGTTCAGACTGGATTTTTCCATTTTTTGTTTGGGTATAGCTTAATATATATCAGTGACGATCTTCTGTGCATCCAATTATGGCCAGTCTTTACACGCAAGAAACGCCTCTCCTGCTTCCAGCTGATGGTTTTTTTGTGATGATTTTTCTTAGTGTTTATTCTCAAGAATAGAGTTTTCCAGCAGAAGATGTGTGGTTATCATATCGCAAGTTTCCCAAAGTATCCTCCCGAGCATCTTATCCCCCATACCCCATATTTTCTTTTTTGCCCCCTCCCATTCTAATTAAGACACCACCGAGACACCCTTCTTGGACAACTTTGATTCTCCACTTTTCTACTATTCACGAAATTTCATTCGCACGGAACTTCGGTCACAAAAAGACGGTGAAATCGATCGCTGCTATACATGGTGGGACCCAATGAAGAAACCAAAGAGGATGAAAAAAGACCAATGGTCGTCCGCTGGCTCAGCTATTCCTTCATAAACAATTTTTCGTACCTAGCATGATAGTTACTTCTGTTGCCGCTATCGACTGCGTATATAGCGGCTGTCATTTGGACTCGGATTCAAATCCATGACCGTGGTAATGGAACTGCTGAAACCAAATTTCCCCCTGACCTAGAAACTTTCCAGAACGCTATTTTTTTCTAGCGCATGCGACCCTAATTTCCGTGGACATGAAGAAGTGACGGAATTTCCGGAAGCCAATTAACTAATGGACCTATTATTTCCTAGTGTAACTAAAGCCACATGGTACCCATAAGTATTGTGTGCTTTGCTCTGTATTTCCAGTGTAAGATTTTTATTATGTTTGGACTCTTTATTTCGTGTTCTCTTTTACAGGGAATGAAATTGCGTTTATAAATAACTTAGGTTGAGGCAATTTTCAATGTATATACTGACCGACTTTATAAACCAACTGGTTGATTCATTTATATAAGAATTAATGATTTATTCAGATGAGATGTTATTTCACACATCTGAAGTCACTTCTGGGTTCTACTCACATGTTTCGAGGCATTGAATATCAAGATAGGCAATCTTTGTACGAGTTACGACGTTAAGAAGATTTCTCAATTGAAGGTTCTCTCCATTCATTCTCCGTTCAACAACTTTGATGGATGAAAATTGCGTTCTCGATTTCGATTTCTCATTCCGTTTAGAATTTCCAATCCATAGATAGTACTTTGAGGAGCAAGACAACTGTACAATTTTCGAATTGATTTCGACCGGTTTAATCTTCAATCATCCATTTATTCAGATTTGAACAATTCTTACACATTTATCCATCAATCTATCAAAAGGTAACATACCCCTTTCTATACTCCGCCTTAGAAATCTTTCTTTTGATGCTCATGCAATCCAATA